TAACCCCTATATAAACCCAAAAGGTTAACCATTAGTTCCCCATGATACCCGACAAGTCAGACAACGAAGCCTGAATAACAAGAGCTGTGAGGGCGCAGAACTGTAGAAGCACTGTGCATCTCAGTCTAGCCTAGTAGGGCTATTCTCGGGATGATGCAAGCATATGCAAACTCTGACTGCTTCGTCGAAATAGTGATGTGTACGGTTCAAAACAGAACTAAGAGCTTCTCGCAAGGTTGCAGCGGAGTTGCGCAGAATGAGAAGCGGCTTCAAGTTAATACTTCCAACCAGGTAGAAATGCACTTGAGATGAGCAAGATGCCAGGGCATGAGTAGCTAGGATGTGTACATATCCCTGAACATCGTGCAAGCCCAAGGCCGAGCCTAAACTCTACACCTCAGCCTCCTGAGCCCCTCGAGCGAGAGGCCGCTATTTCCGCCCCCGGCAGTGCGGCAAGATAACGTCAGGGCCTCCATGCTTGGAGGATCATGGGACTTAGTAAGTAAGGTTATAAGTCCCCTAATTGGGGTTATAAGTATAGATACCTTAGTTATAACCCTACTTACTAAGTCCCATGATCCTAAACCCTAAACCCTAAATCCTAAACCCTAAACCCTAAACCCTACTTACTATGTCCCATGATCCTTTAAGTGTCGAAGTCGCAGGGCTCAGGGGTTTTAGGGTTTTGGGGGGCTCTGCGGGTAGGGGCGGAAGTTGAGGCCCCACGGTTGAGCAAACCTCCTGAAACCATTGTGGAGGATCCACTTTGGGTTTAGGGTTTAGGGTTTAGGGTTTAGGGTTTAGGGCCTAGGGCCTAGGGTGCGAATTCTTATAATTAAGCATGTTGAATTTGGTGCCTTGGCGTAAGTAAGTGCAACTGAGATTGTAAGCACATCGGTTGCGATGTTTGTTTAGGAAACGCACTACTTAGATGATTACCTGCTTTGATCCTTCAAGCCGAGCAAGCCCGGTGCCCCTCACCGGATACCCTCTATGCTTACAGCCTGAAGCCCGACATTGCAGAGGCCATGAAGCCACCAACTTGAAGATTCGGGGTTTTAGGGTTCAGGGTTTTAGGGTTCAGGGTTTTAGGCTTCAGGGTTTTAGGGTTCAGGGTTTTAGGCTTCAGGGTTTTAGGGTTCAGGGTTTTTAGGGTTCAGGGTTTTAGGCTTCAGGGTTTTTAGGGTTCAGGGTTTTAGGCTTCAGGGTTTTAGGCTTCAGGGTTTTAGGCTTCAGGGTTTTAGGCTTCAGGGTTTTAGGGTTCAGGGTTTTTAGGGTTCAGGGTTTTAGGGTTCAGGGTTTTAGGCTTCAGGGTTTTTAGGGTTCAGGGTTTTAGGGTTCAGGGTTTTAGGCATTACAACACCCGAAGATGTAAATCGAAGAGATCCCTACAGATTCAACGCGAGAAATCGGACCAGCTGCTCGGAACCCACCCCTTGGGGGTCTAGAAGCCTTAAAAAGTCCTGCTTGTTTTCAGCGTGCGCACTCCGGGACCCCTTTAATTTTGTGTAATTTACTAAGAAGCCCTGGGCCCTGAACCCTCAATCCTGCAAACGGTAACCCTATAAACCCTAGAACCCTAAAGCCCGAAGCCAATAAGCCCTAAACCCCCCTAAGTCGCACACCCTACGCCTAAACCCTCCACCCTATAAGCCCAACCTGAATTCCATGAGCCGCCACACCCGACACAATACAATCCCGGAGCCGAAAACCCAACATGAACTTTAACATCCACCCTGCTCCAGACTCCAAAGCCCTAACCCGAACTCCTACAGTAGAAGCCCGAAAGTTGGAAACCCAGTAGCCTATCCTTAAGGGTAAGGCATGGGGAATCCCAGCACTTATTGTCCTTAATACCGTTTCCAACTTTTTGGGGTTTACTATAAACCCTAATCACTCTGAGTCTAACTCCTGCCTGAACCCCAAATAAGCTACCCTTCTTGAGGATTGATGTAAAGAAATCATAGTAGGGAGCCCTAGAAAGGTAGGTTCTTTAGGTTATGGAATCCTTAAGGGAGGGGGTTCTATAAGGGGGGTATATAGCCCAGTAATCCCCAATTCTCCCTAGTACTCCCTTAGGTTCCCGAAAGCTCCCTAAGGATCCCTAGGACCCTCCCCCCTTGAGCCACCCTCCCTTAAGGATCCTATAATTAGGGTCCAGGTAAGCCTTAAAATGACCCAGGATCCCTCCCACCATGCGGGGGATGCCCCCCACTCCGATGCGAAGGAACGAATGGGCCGAGAATCGGTTGAGTAGGGTTTAGGGTTCAGGGGTTTAGGGTAGGCTTCGGGTTCAGGGGTTGGGGATTTAAGGTTTTAGGGTTCAGGGATTGGGGATTTAAGGTTTAGGGTTCAGGGTTTAGGGTTTCGGGTTCAGGGGTTGAGGGTTTAGGGTTTCGGGTTCAGGGGTTGGGGATCCGTTTCGGTAAGGCTGTCCTGGCGGGTTGCTTTCCGTGAGGCCGTGCCGCCAGAGTTGTGGCAGACAGCATCTGTGAGTCTGTCCCTTTGTGGATTCGGCTTTCTGTGAAGCTGTGTTGGCGGGTTCTCATGGCTAAGGGGTGCCGGAAGACGCAGTGGGCGGCTGCACTGGCGGGAATCGTCAGGACGGGTGGAAGCTTGTGGCCGCTTGCAGTGGTGAAGGGGCTTCAAAGGGTTGGGGTGGTCCAAGCCGTGTCAAGAAGGCAGCCGCCCAAATGGGGGGGGGGACCCCACAAAATGAAGGCTCCAACATGGTTTCCGGAGCCGCTGTTGCCAACTGCTCCAAGTCGTGAAGGTTTCGGGGTCAAACCCTTGTCAAGAAGGGGTCGGCGTTGTCAATGTGTGTCAATGTGCGATAGAGAACAGGCACGGCGCACAGTTGCCTGCGAGCCAAAAAGGCCAAGTCGTTAAGGGTTGGGGGGGTCCAACCCTTCTCAAGATTTTGCAATGTCCGCTCCTCTTCCAAAACCACACCCAAGACCGCTTGAATTTCAGTTTTCGGCCACTGTTGCCAGCCGCTCCAACTCATGAAGGGTTGGGGGGGGTCAAACCCTTGTCAAGAAGGGGGTCGGCTTTGAGTCGTGAATGGTTGGGGGGGTCACACCCGTGTCTTTAGGGTGTTCAGTTCGGCGCCTGGGGTAGAGTTAATGATTTTCAGTTTCGAGGTGCATGTCCAGAACTTAAGGTTGTCGGGGTTCGTTGCGTCTGAGTGTTCATGACACTTCGTGCAGGATGTCGTGCATAGAGCCCGCTGAAATCCTGAAGTCTTTGGGCCATTCCTGATTTGATCGGGCCTCGATCCCAAACCAGCCACATGGATGAGCACTGATGAGCACGCCTACGGCCCAAACCCTACGTATAAGCCCTACGACTTTACGAGCCATCTTTAAAATTCTTTGTGGCCCAGAAGCCGCAGCCTCATGGCAGGCAGCTGCCGGCGACTCTGGCGACGGCTTCCTAGAGAGAGCGGGACTCAGCGAGATCCCGTGCTCTTGATTTTGCTACTATCGGGTGTGGGCTTATGTGTGCTTTGATGTGGGTGCTAATGAGTTCATGATTTTCGAGATTTGTCATGAGGTCTTTCGGACCTGCATACCTACCTAGCTACACACCTACATGCCGACATTCGTGTGTACATACATGCATACATACATGCGTCTACATGCATACATGCGTGCATGCATGAAAGCATGCATGACTTCATGCCTGAGAATAATCGGAAATCCCGCAGGTCTGGCACGGTGGTTCGAGGACGAGACACGGGACGACGAGGAGGAAGAGGCTCGGTGGCGCTTCGGGATCGACTTCTTGAACTTCAGGATTAAAGTGCAGTTTAGGTTTTAGGGTTGTTTTGTTGGCTGGCGGTCTTTAATTCCAAGTTCTGATAAACGATTGAAAAAAGATATTAAGGAACTTAACCAGAAAAAGGCCGTGGATTTAGTTAAATACATTGTTCCAAAAACTTATCATTTCATTGATTATAGACAACAGGGTAAATCTTGTTGTGGTTTTATTGCTAATGACTTTTTGAGTAAAAAAGTTCCAGATGAATGGCAAAATATAGTTAAAGAAGGAAAAGATGGATATTTAAAGTTTGATTATACAATGACAACACCAGTTTTATGGAGTGCTTTACAAAACGCATTAAACCGTATTGATAAGTTAGAAAAAGAAATAAAGACAGTAAAAGGTAAAGGATATATAATGGGAAGTAAGACATCTAAATCTGTTGCAACAGAAAATATGAAGCAAATAAAAGAACTAGATAAAGACGAGAAAACTAGAACAGATGTGTTACTTTCAATACTTTGAAAGACGTTATTGAAAGAGTTGAAAAAATAGAAGACACAAAGAGCGATAAAATATATTATAAATTACCACCTGTCACGTTGTGCAATTATTCATTAATATAATTATCAATTATTACATAAAGACTTATTAAAACTTTTATATAATGAATGTTAAATATGGGATGTGTAATATTTAAAGTTAGAATAATCAGTGATAAAAAGTTTGTTACAACAAAATCAAAATCCTTAATAGTGATTTAATTGCAAAGGGAAATACATATATCAAGAACTGTAACTGTTATTGTAATACAAAGGAAATTTCAAAGAATGGTCTTATTAATTATAATGTTGATACACTTATTATGTCATACTTTAACTGTTCCAAATGCAATAAGATAAGAAGAGTTATTAATAATCAAACTAATCCTGAAGGCGCTTTTGAAAGTAGAGTTGATACCGTGCTAAACAACGTGTTTTTATTATTAACAGGTCTTAGTGATTTTTATGACTATGAAAACAGTAAAGCCATTTATGGTACATTTGTTTTACCAGTTCTTAATAAACTTGATACAACAATGATTAATAACATGTATTTTCAATATACTGATGAATTACATAAAAAACTACTATTAGCTTTTTCAAAGTTTAATGTTTACAAGTTCAAAAATGAAATTGACTGGTTGATAAGACCGCTTATAATGGAATTTTTCTTTGGTCGCATTTGGTTTAATATTGTAGATGGTGTTGAAAACTACAAGACTTTCAAACACATACTTTGGAATGGGTTTGACACTGAACTGGTTTTATCTAATCATTGACCAATTTAGCATCAAATCGTTTATAAAACATATCATTAACATCACCTTTCATTAAATTAATAGACAAAAAACTGTATGGTTCTTCCGTTGCTATATTATACACTTGTAGTAATAATTTCTTTGCTTCTTGAAGGTTTTTAGTATCTGCTACACTGGATTTTTTAATCAATCAATACCGCACTTAATTCTTCAACCATTGTTTCTATTTCCGTATAATTCCTTAACCTGAAAAAGAATAACTGGCGACTATTGACACGAATAATTGGCGATAAAGCGTTAAATTTTTGTGTTGATGTTATAACGTTAATTGCATTATGTCTACCTCTCACATATAATTGAATTAATAAATGTGAATTTCTTGAAAAGGCCTTACTGTCTGCAAAGTCGTCCACAATAGTTAGTATTGAATGTAATTTGTTGTGGCCATTCTTTTTCTGATATTCTATTACTTTATGTTGACGTTTTATCACTGCTTCTAATTCTGAAGGGACATATTCATCAAACATACATTTTTCCTTTTCTAAATCAACCTTTAAATTATCTTGAATGTACTTTTTAACTGGTGTCCAATTACTGTC